GCCATGGGGGAACATGAGGGGACTGGAGGCGTCACTGGGGATGGGGGTGTGCCGGGTGTGCCAGCGGGGCTGGGGGGTCTCCGGGGGATTCGGAGCACGGGGGTAACAGGAGTGTCACCGGAGGGGGAGGTGGGCTTTGGGGACAGTGAGGGTCTGGAGCACGGGTGTACCCGAGGTGTCACTGGTGCTGGGGGGAAACTCTGAGGACGGGGAGGGCTCTCAGAGCATTGAGGTAACAGAGTCATTACTGGGGCTGGGGGAGTCAGGGCACCATCACTGGGCATGGAGGACCCAGAGTACGGGGGTAATGGGGGTGTCACCGGGTGCAGGGGCAACACAGGGTCTGGGGGGCTCTGGACACAGAGATACTGGAGTGTCACTGGGCCTGAGGAGCTCAGGGCATGGGGGGCTCTGGACACGGAGATAGTGCGGGTGCCACTGGGGCTGGGGGGCTTGGCATGGGGAGGCTTGGGGCATGGAGATACCGGGGGTGTCACTGGGGTGGGAGTGCTTGGAGCATGGGGTTAATGGGTCCATCACCATGCTTGGGGCACAGAGATGGATGGCACTGGGGTGTGGGGGTCACAGATGTGGAGGTGATTCAAGTGTCATTGGGGCTGACTTGGGGCATGGAGCTGCCAGGGACTGAGGTGACTCAGGACACCCTGATAATGGGGTGCCACCAGGGCAGGGGACCTTGGGACATCGGGTTCCAGGTACAGGGGGTAACGGGGGGTGTCCAGATGTGGATTCTGTCCCCCCACCGATCCCGGTACCAGCAGCCTGGCAGCGTCCCTACCTGAACATCTTCAAGCACTTCCGTGTGGAGGAGTGGAAGCGTTCTGCCAAGGAGGGGGATGTGGCCGCCCTCACGGTAACAGGGGCACCACGGGGTGGGGGCACCAGCCAAGGGTGGGCAGCACTGACCCCCCATCACTGCTTTCCTTGGTTTCACAAGGACACGAGGCTGAAGGGAACAATCTACCGGATCCGGGGCTCCAACCCTGCCAGCAGTTACCTGCAGCTGCCCCGGGCTGGGACACAGTCACTGGGGCTCACAGGGCGCTACCTCTACCTGCTCTTCAGGCCCCTGCCCCGCAAGCACTTCCTTGTCCACCTGGATGTCACCACCGAGGTAGGTGACACTGGGTGGACTCATTAAACCACCCTCATTAGCACTGTGACTGATTGAAGGACTGGGGGTGGCACTGGTGGTCTTGGGGGATGAAGACCTTGGCTGGTCTTTGTTAATGCTGATGGGTTTCCCTGGGCTGGAGTTGATTTCCGTCCTCACGGCATCTCTGCTGGGGACAGGGGACACTGAGGGGACAGGAGACACAGCCACGTGCCTTGTCCCCTGCAGCACTTCCCTGCCGAAGCCACCAGGGTGACTAAAGCTCTGTGTGTCTGTGTCTCTTCCCAGGAAAACCAGGTGGTTCGCATCTCCTTCTCCAACCTCTTCAAGGAGTTCAAATCCACAGCCACCTGGCTGCAGTTCCCCTTTGTCTGTGGGGCAGCCAAGGACTCAGCGGGTGACTCTGTGTCCCGGCGCGGTGAGGAGCTGTGTGGTCAGGGCTGGGCTGGCACATCACCACCAAAATAAATTGTTAGAAAATAAATCGAGTTCAGAAGTTGGCTTGCTGCCTTTGGGGAGGGTGAAGAGAAGCTGTAGCTGCCCAATCCTTGGAAGTGTTCAAGGTCAGGTTGGACGGGGCTTGGAGCAACCTGGTCCAGTGGAAGGTGTCCCTGCCCATGGCAGGGGATTGGAACAAGATGGTCTTCAAAACTCCCTCCCAACCCAAACCAAACCATTCCAGGATTCTGTAAGAGTTGTGGGTCTGAGCAGGACCTCTTCCACATCCAGAAGCTTGGAACTGTAGCTCCTGGTAGGGCTGTCAGCCATCCTTGTTCTCCCAAGCAGTGGGGTGCAGTGTCAGCCCAGGCATGAGCCTACGGGGATGGTGGGGCTCCCTGTCCTTCCCCACCCCTAAGCTACAAGGCATATTTTCCCATCTCCCACTGGGCACAGGCCTGGTGGGAATCTTACCTGGTAAATAGTTTACTGAACTGTGTGAATCTCGTGTCTCCCGTCCTGCCAGGTCCAGCATCCACGTCTGTAGCGTCTCTTTGCACCGTCCCTATTCCCACGTGCCACTCTCCTCCCCAGGTGCCTCCGGAGCAGCCCCTGCCGACGTGCGCTGGACGTGCCTGGTGCTGGACCTGCCCTCCATCCTCTCCCTGTACCTCAACCGCCGGTACAGCCACCTCAGGGCTGTCAAGCTCTGCTCCAACCTGCTCGTGAAGAACCTCTGCACCAGCGACTTGGTGTTTGACCCAGGTGAGGAGCCAAGACCTCACCATGGCCTCAGGTTTCTCCTGTGACTCCAGCCCGGCCTGGGGGAAAATCCTTGGGGGTTCAAAGCTGAGGTTGCAGCCCTGGCAGAGCACTGGGCTGCTACTGCTCTATGATATGGGCAGGAAGGGCAAAATACTTACTATGATGTTAAGTTTCCATGTGGGCAGGGACACCTTCCACTGGCCCAGGTTGCTCCAAGCCTCGTCCAACCTGCTCTTGGACACTTCCAGGGATGATGCAGCCACAGCTTCTCTGGGCAACCTGTGCCAGGGCCTCCCCACCCTCACAGGGAAGAATTTCTTCCCAATATCCCATCCCTTTGGCAGTGGGAAGCCATTCCTGCTTGTCTTGTCACTCTGTGACCTTGTGCAAAGTCCCTCTCCAGCTCTCCTGAAGCCCTTTTATGCACTGGAAGGCAATCTGGAATGGAATCCAGTCTCTCAACCTCTGGAGGAAAGTATCCTCTCATTTTCCAGCTGTAAAGTGAACAAAAAGAGCAAAGTTAAATATCTTTCCAAGATTAGAATTTTTTTCAGGGGGAAAGAAAGAAAGAAAGGTGTCACCACACCTTGATTCTCCAAGACCTGTGCTTTTATCTGCTGGAAGAGCCTGTGCTTTTTTTTTGTGTCAAAAATCTTCCAACCTGCTTTTTTTATCCACTTGCTCAGTGTGGCAGAGATACTTTGGTCAAACCCTTTGTTTCTGCCTTTCTTTTTTTGTGCTGGAATTCTGCCTGAACTGCCTGGCCCCATGGAAGGCATCAGTGGGAAGGAAGTTACAGAGGCTGCTTTGAGATTCCTGAAACTTGTTATATCTTGAAGAATTTCCTGTATTTACAAATACATGAAAAAAAGAAGATAAGAAAATGGGAAATGAGTCTTAACACAAATCATGTTAACTTACTGAATCAATGAACAGAAACTAAGTGAATCTTGGGCCTGGGGGTTTATAACTCGAATCCAAGTGTTTGTGCTCTGGGCTCTTTGGAGGTTTAGAGTTTCAGGAATCCACCTGTGCAAAGGTGTGTTAGTTTGTTCCTCAGGCTTGGGATCCTTGTTTCTCCTGTGTTTTCAAAGAGGGAAGGGGTTTGTGCCCATGTCCCACAGGGAATGTGATTTCAGCCAGCTCCACAGGCCTGGAGAACTCAGTGTCTGTCTGTCCCTGTGCTGCCAGGTGTGACCTTCTCCAAGGCCCGGCACACCGACCTGGCCTGCCGTGGGATCGCTCCCATGCCAAGGGAAATGGCATTCCCTGTGCCCAAGGGAGAGAAGTGGCATGACCTCTACGACTACATCAGGTATGGCTGCTCCCCCTCCCACGACAGCTCCCAGATCTTCCCACTCCCTGGGGGAAGGCAGGATGGGTAATGCCACTTGCGGAGTGACAGATCCAGGTGAACTGGGGGCCCAAGTGGGCATTTTGGTCCCCTCAGCTCCAGCATTTAGGTGTTGTTAACACTTCTGTCCTTTAGTACCATCTGCCTTTGGTATCCCTGTATTTGGGGGAGGATGGGATAAAAAGGGAAATCTTATAGGAGACTGAAGAGGTCTTTGTGCCAGGCCTGAGTTACCAAGTGATATTCCCAGGTGCCAGTACAGTTACAGTCCTAATCACACAGTGCCTTCCTCTGATGCTGCTCAGGTTCCCATCCGAGGGGCTGAAGCTGCCGTACAACTCCATCCAGAGGAGCTGTCCCAGTCCTGCGGCAGGTGGGAATGCTGGGGGCAGCAGGCAGGGCTGTGCCACCCCGGCTGGGTGCCCTGGGTTCTCTTTAGAGCCCGTCCTGCTCCTCGTGTCCCCAGGTGACGGAGCCTCGGAGGAGCCTGTCCGCCAGCCGCCCCCGCCGGTGACACTCACCAGGGCCGTGTGTGACCGCCTGTCCCTCATCCACCACATCACCAGTCCCAAAGCTGTGAGTGCACCACGGAGGGAGCTGCAGCTCCTTCCTTTCTGCTTGCCGTGGAGTCTTCCCCCACATCTCTGCTGCTTGTTGTCGTTGGCAGCTGATCTGGCATGGTCTGGTGACCACAGATAGTTCTGTCTTCAAATTATTAATAGGAAGTGAGGTCTGGAGACTAAGGAATGTGATTGGAGCCCTCAGGGAACAGAGCAGTGCATGGAGTTGGGATTGCTGGGACTGCAGGCAGCTGTCCTCTTCCTGATTTCCTCCTTCCCAGTGGTGCTGATATGGGAGCTGGTGTCCAGACTGGCTTGCCAGTGTGGTGATGGGAGTTTGGAGGGGGTCTGGGGGAAGCCATCCTCGTGCTGTGGAGAGGGAGAAAATGAGGAGCACAGCTTCTCTTTATTAGAAAGTGTCCAAAGAATGGCCCTGAAGATGATGAAGGGTCTAGAGGGGAATGGAGCCATATGAGGAGCAGCTGAGGGCACTTGGTTTGTTCAGCCTGGAGAAGCGGAGATGGAGCACAGACCTTATCAGGGTCTGCAGCTTCCTCACAAGGGGCAGTGGAAGGGCAGCTCTGATCTCTCCTCCCTGTGAGCAGAGACAGGACCCGAGGGAACAGCTGGAGCTGTGTCAGGGCAGAGTCAGGTTGGATGTCAGGAAAAGGTTCTTCCCCCAGAGGCTGGTTGGGCACTGAACAGGCTCTCCAGGGCAGTGGGCACAGCCCCAAGGCTGCCAGAGCTCGAGGAGTGTTTGGACAATGCTGTCAGGGACTGGGTGGGGTTGTTGGTGTGTCTGTGCAGGATGGACTTGATGCTCTTTGTGGGTCCCTTCCCACTCAGGATACTCTGTGATTCTATGACCTAGGATGAACTGGGATGGGCTGAGCTGGCTGATTGGGTGCTTTAGACCTCCTCTGCTCAGTGGAGAGAGGGCAGCTCTTCCTGTTGAGGGCTGAGTGTTTTCTGGGGCTCTGATTTTCTATCTGGAGGAGATGAACTGTGCATGGACAACACTGGGAGCGTAGGCAGAGCAGCTGTTTAACACACCTGGCCAAGCCAGGTGCACACAGGGCTGCCCTCCCTCCAGGTTGTTTCATCCTTGTTTGTATCACTGTGAAGAGTCTTAAGGAGGGGGGGGGTCTCTCTGTCCCTGCCCTGGCATCGGGTGGAGGGCACTGGGAGGAGGACTGAGCTCTGTCTGAGGCTTTCCTCATTCTCAGGTGCCACGCCGATCTCCTGTAATCACAAAAAGCATCCCTGAGGTTCACCTGACAGCCCCAAGAGCTGTGCCTGCTGGGCACCTGGTGCCAGAGGAGAACCAGAGACTGCACAGTGTGGGGGACACTGGGCAGCCACCATCAGCCATCCATGTCTACGCTCATCAGAGGGGTGGACGGACCACCCGAGCTGTCCCTGCCGGCTCAGAGGAGGTGGGTGAAGCACTGAGGAGCTCAAGGTGGCTTTGCAGTGCTTGTTTCTGATTCTTGTGAGCCCAGAAGTGAGAAAGGAAACACTAAGTTCAGGCTGGAGTTCCAGAGTTCAAAAGGTGTTATTTTTCCTGGCTGGCAGTTCTCTTTTCTTTAGTATCTTACTTGCCTTGAAAGAGGAACCCTGTGTTCAAACACGCTGACCTTAAGCCACTAGCATGTTTACATCTGCCCAGAGTGTGCACAGAAAGGGCTCTGGCCCAGGTGTGCTGTCCTAGCAGGAAGTTTCAGCTTGCAGGATAAGAGAACAGCCCTGGAAGTGTTCAAGACCAGGTTGGTTGGAGATTGGAACAACCTGATTTAGTGGAAGGTGTCCCTGCCCACGGGAAGGGCTGGCTGTATCCCCCAGCTTGGGGCTGGGAGGAAGAACTGCTTAACACTGGGAAACCCCAGCTCCTCCTGCCTGCCAGGCTGGACTTGAAATACTTTGAAGTTGTCCCCTCTGACAGGAGGGACCCAAAGCTGCCTCTGTGTTTTTCAGAGACAGATGAGCACTGGGGGCGGGGGTGCCCTGTGAGTGGAGGACCTCAGTGCAGCTCTGAGCATGATGGTGCTGGGTTTTTTTCCAGAGGCTCTTACCGGATCCCATCCTGAAGCTGAGAACAATTATTGGCTTTGGAGGCTGCAGCACCAAATGGGTCAGTAGCTGAGATGATTTGGGGAGGGGATCTGTCATCACGTGACTGGGGTATTGATTTTTAGGAGGTGTGAAATACAGCTGAGTGCTGGATGTGGAAAAGGATCCCAAAGCAGATGGGGACAAGTGTATGTTCATACATGACTGTTCTGCTGTTATGATGGTGAATTAGAAATTATGGGGCCTTTTAGACAGAATCATAGGATGGAGAAGCCCTCCAAGATCATCAAATCCAGCTGTTCCCCCAGCACTGCCAAGGCCACCACTAGCCCATGTCCCCAAGTGCCACATCCACACATCATCTAAGTCCTTCCAGGGATGGTGACCCTACCACTGCCTTGGGCAGCTGTGCCAGGGCTGGACAATGCTTTCAGTGAAGGAATTTCCCAACATCCATTTAAACCTCCTCTGGCACAGCTGGAGGCCATTTGCTCTCACCCTGTCCCTTGTTCCCTGGGAGCAGAGCCCGACCCCTACCTGGCTCTGTCCTCCTGTCAGGGAGTTGGAGAGAGTGAGAAGGTCCCCCCTGAACCTCCTTTTTTTCCAGCCTGAGTCCCCCCAGCTCCCTCAGCTGCTTTGTATCAGACTTGTGCTCCATTTTCTTCACTAAATTTCATGGCTTCTTTTTAACACATTAAAACTCCTGTGCTTTGTTGGAGGCTCAGAAGGAAGGGCTGTGTTTTGGCTTGTTTCTTTGGGGCGCTGGGCCTTGCTTGTGGTCTGTATTGGGGTAAAGAAAGGGTTGTTTTGGTTCAGTCAGTTCAAGGCTCTGCCAACAATGTCATTTTCCTTGGATCTCCTGTTCACATAGTAGGGAAAGGATCTTAAAACTCATTCAGTTCCAACCCCCGGCCATGGGCAGGGACACTTTCCACTAGACCAGATGTGCTCCAAGCCCCATCCAACCTGGCCTTGAACAATTCTAGGGATGGGAAAGAAACCTCTGCCTAGGAACTGGGGCACTTGTGGAGCCCTGTGCCTCCTGTCTCGGTGCTGCAGGCGCTGTGGACGCAGAACAACGCCGCGGTGGTGTATCCCTGCCACGCCGTCATCGTCACCCTGCAGCTCCGGACCGGCGAGCAGAGGTTCTTCCTTGGCCACACAGATAAGGTGAGTGTAACCTTCCAAAGCCTGATGGCAGCGCTGTCCTTGCACCCCAGGTGTCCCCCTGGTATCCTCTCACGTGGTGCTTCCCGCAGGTGTCAGCGCTGGCTTTCAACGGGAGCAGCACCTTGCTGGCCTCGGCGCAGGCCGGGCCCCGGGGCGTGGGGCGCCTCTGGGACTTCCGCACAGGCACCTGCCTGGCCGTGTTCAAAACCCATGTGCACTCCCTCTGGTCCCTCAGGTGGGTTTCAGCTGGGTGTGGGTGTGTGTTCAGGCAGGTGAAGTGTTGCAGTATGGCAGCATTTCCATGCTGTTCTCACGTGCAGGGATGAATTAGAGCTGCCTGTGTTTGTCACCTAGACCAGCTGGCAGCTGGCCTGCATATGCTGCCAGCTCCCTCCTGAGCTTATCCCTCAGGTCTTGCTGTCTCCCCATCCCTACAACTTGTCCCCTTTTATCCCCCACTGGGGTACAGTCAGGGTGCAAGGAGCTGTGTTTCACCAGGTTCCTCTTCTTGCAGCTTTTCCCGCAGCGGAGCCGTTCTGTGCGGAGTCGGGAGGGACGGGCATGGCAAAACGGTGAGACCTGAAACTTGGGTTGGGAGGTTTCCCTGAGATGGCTGTTCTCCCAGATTGTGTAGTTATTTTGCAGACAAACCTCTGCTCTGGGCTTTCCTAGGCGTGTTCTTGAGGGAGATCCCTTTCTCGTTAGCTGCCTAGAAAATACTTTCCATCTGCCTGATGCTTGTGGGTGTTTGCATGCACATTCCTCAGCTGCAAGCGAACAAATCCTTGCAGAAGCAGCTGGAGAGACCTTCTGGGGCTGTGCTTTGGAGGCTGTTGTGCTCCTGGTGTGTTCCCAGCCAGGAGCCCAAGCAGGGTGATGTGACTGTGCCCTTAGTCTGCAGGGATCACCGCAGGCTCATGTGCCACATTCCCACCTCTGCAGCCCTTCTGAGGGACACATGTTTGGGTGGCATTCCAAGCTGGAAGCCTTGCGAGCACATAGGAATTGTAATGGGAGGTTCAGCACTGACTGGAGGCCAAAACCCCTTTATTTTAGTAGCATTTAGAGCAAGATGTTAGGTTTAATCTTTCAGCACCGAGCATCTCCACGGAAGGGATACCGGGTGCTGGAGCTGCCACCCACCGATGTAGCTGGGGGATGACGCAGATCCCACATGGAGCGGTCAAAAATAAACTTGTTTCGTGGGACTGGGTGTTTGTTTTGTCAGTGGAAGTGTTTTCATCCACTGATCCCTTACTGACAACCACCAGCAATTAGCTGTGCCATTGCTAATTGCAGGAAAAAACACACAGTGCTCCGTGTTTTTCTCAGCATGTGGCAGCGTTCTCTGATCTGGGGGGAGCTGGTGAGCTGCAACTGGGGAGAGGGGATCAATGGGGTGAAAGCAGGGTGGGAGAACAGGGAGCACCTCTCCCACGGTGATGCCTCTGCCCATCCCAGCCTCTGAGGTGATCCTGGGTTTGGTTTTAACGCTGTTCTGGAATGCAGAGCATCCACCTGCATTTCTTCAGCCATTTGCCCCTTTCCTCTGGGCAGAGGGTTTGACTCTTGCCCCTGGTGACAGGCGCTGAAGGCACACAGACCTGCATTGGGGCAGAGGCTGGGACAGCCAGAGCAGTGGTCACATGCTGCCTCCCACTCCCTCAGCCCTGATACAGCTCCTATATCCCAGCAGGCAGAGTTCTCACTCCTCTGTGGGTTTGCTTTCCAAGTCTGAGTCCTGTTGCCAGGCAGCCCTGGGATTTAGACCCTATAATTATGGATTGTAGACAAGGATATTGCTGTGAAGCTTTGCAAAGCTGTTGAACTGTCCTAAACCCTCTGGGTGAGAGGTTTTATTTCCCCTGCTCCAGCTCTGTTATCGATACTTTGTGCCCAGCTCTGGAGCAGCTGCTGGATGAAAAGCTCTTCTGCTGCCAAGGTTTTGAGCAGCTATCCATCATGTTTTTGTGTTTCAGTTGGTGGTGGTGTGGAACACTGCTCAAGTAACCCGTGGTGGAGGGGTGGCTGTGTTGGCCAAAGCACACACAGATATGGACATCCAGGCCTTGAAGATTGCTTTCTTTGATGAGACCAGGTACATGCAAAGAAAATAAATCAGAAACATTGATTCTTAGATATTGGGGAGGGTGAGGGTGGTGAGGCCCTGGCACAGGTTGCCCAGAGAAGCTGTGGCTGCCCCATCCCTGGAAGTGTCCAAGGCCAGGTTGGACGGGGCTTGGAGCAACCTGGGCTAGTGGAAGGTGTCTCTGCCCATAGACTGGATGGGCAACTAGGTGGTCTTTAAGGTCCCTTCCAACCCAAACCATTCCATGATTCTGGCATGGCTGCAGGGGGAACTGCAGTGCTGCAGCCATCTGGTTGCTATTCCTGTTCTTGGTCTGTCAGGTGGCCCTTGGGACACTGATCTTGGGACACCAGGGGCTCGGGGAGTCCTGCCCTGCTCCTCACACCATGTCTCCCGGGACAGGATGGTGTCGTGTGGCCGGGACAACATCAGGCTGTGGCGAGTGCGGAGCGGGGCCCTGCACTCGTGTCCCGTCAACCTGGGCGAGTACCATTCCCTGGACTTCACCGACCTGGCCTTCGAGGAGGGGCCCGTGGCTGAGCAGGAGCCCGAGGACCGTGCGCTGTAAGGGGCCATCACCAGCACCATCCTCGGGGAACCTGCTGGGGGGGAGCTCTGTGCCTCTCCCTGCTCAGCATCCTCCTTCCCCTCCTGTGCACCACCACAGAATTTTGCTTGGGTTCTCCCTGCGAAACACAGGTGCCTCCTGGAGCTGGGAGAGCCTCTCTCCTCCTCAGCACACATCACTTCCCAAAAGAGATTTGGCTGCTTCAGAACAGCCCCAGAAATGGCTCTTTCCTCTCACTATAGTGATATTTTGCCATATTTAGTGATTTTCTTCTCACCTGAAGCTTTCTGTGGCAGCAGGAGGAGTGTGGAACACATCTTCTTGCATACAGCCAGACACACGCTTTGGTGTTGTTTTATTTTAATCATCAGAGCCAGGCCTTTGTTGCCACCACATATGGTCCCATCAAGGCAGAGCTGTCGGCTCAGCCAGCCTGTGGCAGAGAGAGGCTCCTTTCTGGACTCTGTGCCAAGCTTTTTGGCTCTCTTGCTGATCTCTGTTCCAGAGGGTCAGGAAATCAAATAGGAAGCTCTGACTTGGTTGGAGATGTGTGGTGCAGCACGTGGAACACTTGAACACCTAGCTGACTTGTTATATTACTGTGAACCAGGATTGCTTTCCACAGGTAAGCCAAGCTGTTTTTTCACTAAACCCAGGTCTCTCTCCTGCTTTTTTTACAGCTTTGTCTGCAGCAAGAGCGGCCACGTGCTGGAGGTGGATTACAAGAACATGTCTGTGCGGAGCGCGCGGCGGCTGCTGCCGGCACAGCCCCGGGAACACGGGCAGGAGCAGGCAGGGAGCAGCTCAGGTGGGAGCACCTGCAGGGAGGGACCAGCCAGGGGGCACCTCAACCACCACCAGGGTCAGAAATGAGCTCAAACACATCCCTGCTCAAACCAACCAGCTCTTTACCTACTGCTACCGGTTATTTTGGGTTGATTAGATCATCGGTATTTGCCTCTTAAGGACTGCAAATAATCTTCCTTAGTGCAGCAAAGTATCGTTTTAAGAAAGACTTTAGCATTTTAAATGCTGATTGCACTTTCAGAGAAACACCACTTTTAGAAACATGAAACAAGGTCTTCATTTGCTGATGGGAGGCTTAAGAGAGAGATGGAAAAAGAACGAAGCAGATGAATGAAAAAGATGAATTTGGGGATTTTTTCATTATTCAGCCTTTGCAGAGCATTTGGAGAATCTTTGGTGCTGTACATTAGTCCAGCTTTCAGCTCTTCCATTAGCTTCAATGGTGGGAAGAATTCACTTTCAAGTGGGATTACTCTGATGTTTTAAAACTTAGTGCATGGTTTGCTGTATCAAATTGAGCTAATTAATCAAGAACATGTCTTTTGAGAGGTGTGTAACTGCAGTTCTTGCCTCATGGGCAAGAAAAGGCCCAAGAGCAGATGAAACAATGTCCTTGGTGTCCTCCTGGTAGCAGTGCTGGCTCTGACCAATGGCCTTTATACCTGAATTTAGATTGGATATTGGGGAAAATTCCTTCACTGAAAGTGTAGTCAGGCTTTGAAACAGCCTTCCCATTCCATCCCTGCAAGTGTTCAAAACTGTGGATTTGGCCCTTGGGGACATGGTTTAGTGGTGGCCTTGGCAATTCTGGGTTAATGGTTGGACTCTATGAGCTTTTCCAACCTTAATGATTCTATGAATCAAAAAATCCCAGTTTCTGTAGATCTGTATTTGCCTTCTGCAGAGAGGATTTGGGACATGGAAATGGCAGGGCAGTTCTCTGAGACATCCCTTCCTACAGGATCCTGTTTGAGGCAAAAATATGGCAGGGTGTAACAAGGGGTAGGAATTTTCTGTGCCTGGCAAGAGTTTCACGATGGTAAAGAAGTTTTTAGCCCTGAGAAGGGCTGCCTGAGCCCCTTCAGCCTGTTCTGTCAGTCAGCTTGGGATTCCTGGCTCCTCCTGAGACTGCAGCTGCAGGTGTGGGTGGAGCACTTGCCTCATCTCTTGGATGGGGCAACCCTCAGGTTGAGTTTTCTTGTTCCACCGGTATGAGGAGGTGTCGTTTTTTGGGTTTTCAGGCCCTGGGATTGCTATAAACAGTATTAGTATGTCCTTGACCTTCTGTGCCACGGGATCAGAGGATGGCTACGTGCGGCTGTGGCCACTGGACTTCTCAGCCGTTGTCTTGGAGGCAGGTGAGTAGAGCTGGGAGTGGCACTTCTGAGCTCCACAGCTGCTGCAGTTCCAGAGCTCCACTGCCACAGCTCCTGCAGCAATTCTCACGAACAAGGGCATGTTTTATGTGTGCTGTCTCAGGGCTGACTGGCTTGGAAGTCTTCAATGGCAGTTATTGATGTTCATTCTTGTAACTCATAGGAGAAAGGCCGGTTCTCCTGGGAGAGAGCAGGTTTCCATCTTGATTTCTGTGCTCTTGAACCCATGGCTCATCTGTCTGTGAGAAATTATGGGAGAAGTCGAGTAGTTCTTGACTCTTTTTGAAACAAACAGCATAACAGCAGAGCCAGAGCCCTTCAGATAGGGCAGAGACTAATCTGTCACTGAACTCAACTGCAAGTGTTCAGTCTCCAGGTTGTGGGCTGCTCATTCCTGTGATTGTTGCTTTGCCAAACAGGAATCTGCCTTTGTAGCTGTATTCCAGCTGCTGCCGCTCCTCTCCCAGGGGATTCCTTGACCTCGGTGTCTTTCCCCAGAGCACGAGGCTCCGGTGAGTTCTGTCTGCATCAGCCCTGACAGCCGCAAAGTCTTGTGCAGCACAGCTGCTGGGAGCCTGGGCTACGTGGACATCCAGTCCCGGGACTACAACACCCTCATGCGCTCACACAAGGCCCCCGTGCTGGGCTTCTCGGTGGGGGGCATTCGGAAGCAGATAGCAACAGTGTCTCAGGACAGCACCATCCGAGTGTGGGACCTGGTCTCCATGCAGCAGGTAGGTGAGACAAGAGTCAGGAGGTGTCTCATATTTATTGTCACCCTTGTCTCTGGTCTAATTATCAAAACCCCACAGTTCAAGAGCCCTTAAGCCCTCCCTGAAGCATGAGGGGGTACCACGGGCAAGAAATCCTTTGAAAGTGGAGTTCTGAGGTATTGTTAAAACAAAACTATTTTTTTTCCTCCATCTTTTGAACAGTGCTTTTTAGCACAAAGCATAATACCCAAGGGCTTTAATCTAAATGCCCAAAGACCCAGGACTTCACTGGGGTTTATATCCATCCAGGCAGGAACAGCAGCATGCTCATGGTGGAGGTCTGGGGCTGTTTAGTTGTTGGGTCCAGCTGCAGCTCCAGCTTTATCCAGCTGCATGCCTGTGGTGTCTCTTCCCTGCAGCTGTATGACTTTGCAGCCTCAGAGGAAGCACCGTGTGCCGTGGCTTTCCACCCCACCTGGAAGATCCTGGCCTGTGGATTTGACAGTGGGACTGTGCGGACCTTCAGCTTGGCCGCCTCCAATCTCCTGCTGGAGCACAAGTGAGCGTTTGGAGTGGGAACTGTCCTGGGTCTAACTGGGTGTCCTGGTGATGGAAGAGAACCACAGGGATGGTCATGGACCTTGACAACCCTCAGGTCCCAGCTGGGTGGGTTTTGGGCAGAGGCTGTGCCGAGGCTCCGGGTGGTGAAAGCCTGACCTGTGAAGGCCATGAGGGCTTTCTTTGTGACTTCCTGGGGGAGAGCAGTAGGAAAGAGCTTGTCCTAGAGGGCAGCTGAGCAGAGAGCCCTTGCAAGCCTTGGTGCAGAAAGCAGAGGATGCTCCAAAGGGAAAAGGGAGCAGGTTCCATCCAGGCTGGAGCACTGCTCGGTTGTCCAATAAGCTGGAATGTTGGTTGTCCTGGGCTGCTGTGGGTGTGAGCACGGTGGGGTCCAGCCCTGTCCCTGATTATTTTGTTCTGGGTTCTTCATGGTGCACTCGATGTCACTGCTGTTTCCTCTGTCTCTGATTTTCTCCTCCCTTTATCCATGTTTTCTGCCTTTCAGGCAGCACCGCACTGCCATCACCGGGCTGACCTTCTCTCCAGATGGCAATTTCATGTTCAGCTCCTGTTTGCAGGGCACTCTGGCCCTGTACAAGTGTGTGGCGCAGAAAAGCCACGTCCTGAGGGTCCTGGGTAAGACTCTGGGATTGGGAATTGCCTTTCTTCTTTCTTTTATTATCACAGACACCAAAGCCAAACCACACTCAGTCTGCTCAGAGAGAGATTTCCCAGTGAACCTGAGCTGTGTCATTTCCCCCTGTGCTGGGCATTGCTGAGTCACCTCCAATACTGGGGGCAGTTCTGGTGCCCTTGTGACAAGAAAGACCCTGGGAGGCTGGAGCGTGTCCATGGAAGGGAACAGAGCTGGGGAAGGGGCAGGAGCAGCTGAGGGAGCTGGGGGGGCTCAGCCTGGAGAAAAGGAGGCTCAGGGGGAACCTTCTGGCTCTGCAACTCCCTGACAGGAGGGGGGAGCTGGGGGTAGGGGTGTTGGGCTCTGCTCCCAGGGAACAAGGGACAGAACAAGAGAAAACAGCCTCAAGGTGTGCCAGTGGAGGTTTAGATGGATACTGGGAAATTTCTTCTCTAAAAGGGTGGTCAGACCCTGGCACAGGAGTCCCCATCCCTGGAGGGATTTAAAAACCATGTGGATGTGGCACCTGGGGATGTGGGTTAGTGGTGGTCTTGGCAGTGCTGGGGGAGCAGTTGAACTCTGATCTCAGAGGGCTCTTCCAACCAAGGCCAACCTGTGATTCTATGATTTTTAATGATTCTGTGATTTTATGATTCTATGATTTGTGTTTGTACCTTCTGTGTGAGCAAAACCCATTGAAAAAATCACTTCCCTACCTGTCTTGGTTCAAACCCTCTCAGCCTCCTTGGTGTAATCATTTCATGAATGTTCTGGAATCACAGAGATTTATTCATGCCCAAGCCCTGACTCTTTTCATTCTGTGCATGTGCAGTTTAATTTGTTTAAAGTGGATTTTTGCCCTAACCCTGCCTGCAGCAGAGCTGCTCTGTGCTGGTGGAGAGCTGGAGGCAAGTCAGGGGCCAGGCAGTTTGGAAAAATTAGTGTCACATTTAATATACACTTTGGAAATGAGCTGTGGCAGCACAAGCTTGGGCAGGGAAAGGGAGCTCTGCTTTTATACAGTGCAATATTTTATAAAGAGGAGGATCCTGCTCCAAGAATTGTGCAGGAGAAGGAACACAGGCTCAGGGAGATCAGGGAGTTTGTCCAAAATCACCCAAGTTTGTGGTCAGTGCTGCAGCGGGGCCTTCATGTGTTGACTCTTCTCTGAAACTATGTCACTGCCTGGTCACATTCCTAGGACAGAGAGTGGAATTTTGGTAGTGGAATAAATACAGAGAATTGCTGTGATTTCAGCTATTTTTAGACCTTTGGGTCTGTGCCCTCTGGACTGACATAAGTGTGGTGGGGTTCAGCCCTGACCTCTTCTGCTCAGGGTTCAGCCAACCAGGGTTCTCGCATTCATAGCTCCATGTAACTTTAAAAAATAAGCTCTAAAATCAATTTTATTCCCTTGACTTTGTTCCACTCTCCTTGAAAACACCACACGTTCAGTCAGGCAACAAGTTGTGCATCTAAACCTTGTGTTTTAGGTGCCCACTGCACACTTTGGTTGTGCAGATAAATTTTGTAGCATCTACAACACAGGTTGCTTCTTTCTCAGGCCAGAGCGTTAACCCAAAGCTGGTTCAGAGGAGAAGCTGCAGCTGCTGCCCAGCAGTGGCATCAGAGTGAGGGTGGGCTTTCCTCCTCTCTTCACTCTGCCTCGTGCTGTGTCCCCCAGGAAACGTGGTGGCCCGGGATGCTGGGAGCGGTTGGGATGCCCTGGTGGTCAGTGGGGACAGTCACCTCCTGGCCTTCGTGGGGCCCTCCAAGTATGTGGTGACCGTGATGGAGGCCTGTTCTCTTGATGAGGTACCAGGGGCTCCCCTCCTTCCTGGGGAGGCTGGGGAGGGCAAATTCCATAGGCTGCATCAGTTGAGATGGGTCAGGGTGTTGGGCACCAGCACTGTTGGAGAGGGCCTTCCCTGCAGAGAACAGGGAGTTCACAGTGAGGTTTGCTTTCCATTCTTAGAAATAACAAAGTCAAGGTTTCTTCTCCTCTGGCTTTATTCCCCTCTAGAAAGATAATTTGCAGAGGTGCTGTGTAGACTGTCAGCTCCCACCTCTCTCTGTGAGCTGCTCTCCTGGGCATTGCCTGGACCTGAAGCCCCTCATTAGGTGGGAAGGGTCTGGGGAGTTCTGTGGCCTTGTGTTAGGAGCATGTGAGCAATCCTGAGGCTCCCGCAGTGTTTGTTCATAGCTCCTTGTTTCACAGCTGCTGAGGGTGGACATCAGCATCCTTGACTTGCACAGCACTGTCTTGGACTCTGCAGTGAGGGTCTGCTTTGGTCCTGTGCCTCAAGGCGAGCTCCTGGTATCCACTTCTTCCAATAAAATCCTCGTGCTTGATGCAAAAACAGGACGACTGGTGCGAGAGGTAGGACACTGAAATTCATCCACGGAGCTCTCATGTGGGGTTTGGGCATTTCAGGTCCCTGTGGGAGGTTAAATGAGAGAAAAGCTCATCCTGGAGCTCACAGGCTTCGAAGAAACATGAGTGGGAAGCTTACAGTTATCCTCATGTGCTTGGGCTCAGGATGAGCCTCAGCTTGTCCTTGTTTTCCATGCTGTCACACCCCTGTTCTCTTGCTGAAGTGTAAATAAGGGTATGAACTAACTCAGTTAAAGCTGCTGGTACCTCTTCTTGTCCTCAGGTGTCCCCCATGCACAAGCTGACATGTTCTTCCTTTGCACTGAGCAGGGATGGCCAGTACCTGCTCACTGCTGGTGACAAGGTTATCAAAGTGTGGGACTATCGGATGCGCTTCGATATCAACTTCCAGGTACCACCCACAGAGGGAGGGAAGGGGTTGGTGTTGCATTTGTGAATCCCTGGAGAAAAGAGCAGCAAAAGACATCTGATGCTTGGCCCAGCGTCTCTGGTCCCAGTTTGCCCAGCAGAGAAATGGAGCCCTGTTCCCACATTGTAATAACACCTGGCACTGGGCACAGGCTGGGGCAGCCAGACCCTCTGCAAAGGACAGGGGTGGGTGATACCTCTGTGTTAGGGACAGGACCACACAGAGAAGAAAATGGCTCCCCCAGGACTTCTGGGGTAGCATAAGACTTTGTACTCTTCAGCTTTTGCTCCCCTTCCCAGATGAGTGTGTTCAAGGTTGATCAACTGTAGGTGTGAGCACTGTAGGTGTGGTAGATCCTCTGCTGGATCTTGTGCTGAGGCCTGTAGACACTGGCCATGCAGGGCAGAGAGTGCAGTAACCCCATGCTGGCAGGACAGGTGTGGGGATGGGGAAGTTCAGGGTGTGCTTTCTCCAGGTGTACATCGGCCACTCAGAGCCCGTGCACCAGGTCGCCTTCACCCCGGACCAGCAGCACGTTGTCAGTGTTGGAGATGCCATCTTCCTCTGGGATTTCCTAGCTCCAGTTGGAGCAAAGTCACCCCCAGCCAGGTAAGTGCAGGTGTTGGGCACTGCCTTCCCTGCTTCCCCCTTTCCCCCAGCTTGGTGTAACTCCAATCTCCTCACCTTTCCAGGGCTCGTTCCCCCGCATCTGCTCGGCTGCCAGGACCAGGTGAGTTGTGCTGGTTGGCAGGTTGGCAGCTCTTCCAGAATGTAGGGCCTGGGGAGTTCGGTTCCTTCCCTCAAGGAAGGGTATTGGGGGCCAAAGCAGCTAATTAGCCCTGAAGGACAATCTCAAATTAATTAGCACCTCTCAGTCTGCCTAGGTGGGGATGTTCTGAGCAGAGCCACTCTGGATTTTCTGGTAGGTCTTTCAGCTTTTGTCTTCTGTCTTTTCCTGCCTCCATCTCCTCTGTTTTCTTTCTTCCTCAGTGTATCTCTCTCTGTCTGTCCCACTCTTGAAAGACAGAGAAGTGGCTTCTCCTGTGTAGGAAGAAGCTGGAGAAATGAGCTTGGAGGCATCACCATCAATCCAGGAGGATGAGAGGAGCTAAGGGATGAAAGGAAGTTACACAAAGCCTTTTCTTTTCCCAGAAGGCAGCTCTGAGAAGCCAAAGGATGTTTCTGAGACCCTTAGGCAGACAGTGCCTCTTCCACTGCTGTCCTCACCCCCGTGTTTGGATATCAGCTCTGCCCAACAAGCAGGATATCAAGGTAAGAGGAACTGTTTGCAGGAAAGGGGAAAATTAACCTTGTTTTGGGAAACACTCCTTGCCTAGTTTAGCAGCATTCTTGGAGCCATCCCTGCCCATGATCCCTTCCAGCAGATTGACAGACCAGTCTGCAATTCGTTCCCCTAAGATGAAAAAAGCCCAGAGGTGCTGGGATTCAGCACCCCTTTATCCTCTGCTCTCTTGCACACACTGAGCTGCTGGCACAGCTTCTCTGAGGGCTGTGGTAAACACCCTGTTGGCCATTCCCAGTAGGAATTGTCTGCTTTGCCCTCCACCCAAACGGCTGGACTGTTCCACAGAGCAGGGGAATGACACGGCCAGAAATCAAAGGGTCAGGCACACATGAAGTGGTCCTGAGGGACAGGGATGGCTCCATCTTCCCACTGATTTTTCTCTTCAGGTATTTTCTCTGAATTGGACAAAGAGGAGGAAGCAGGTCTGCCAGGCAGCAGCAGGATGGTGGCAAACAGAGACAAAGATGCCTCAGTCTTTGTGGTGGAGTCAGATAGGAACAAGGAGCTTGTGAGGTCCAAAGTGAGGCAGGAGAGCCCAAGGTCTCCTGAAAAATCAACAAATGGTAAATCAGGGTTATTCCCAGCTTGTATAGAGCTTATCTCCTTCCTTGTGCACAGGCCTGCATGGCAGCTTGGTCTATCCCCGGAAAATGAAGGAAGGTCATCATTAATACGGTCCAGACACATGGCTCTGAGTTGTGATCTGGAGGGCAGCACCATGTTCCTCAGGGCTCTTCCCTTGGGCATGACCTACTGAGGGAAATCAGTATTGAGGGAAGCTCATGCTGGTCCCCCAAACTGCTTGTTTTCCTGGCTCTTTCCCTGCTGCTGCTTCTAGGCACACCAGAAGCCTCTCTTCAGCTTGGAGCCAGTATCATCTCTAAGTGGCATGTTCCATTAAATCCAGCTGCAATTAAAGCTCCCAATGTCTCTATTAATAGCAGCACAGCCTCGAAGCTGCAGCAGAGCGTGGCAACCTGCCAGGAGCAGCAGCTGCCTGTGCTCATTCCCGGCAGGACCTGTTGGAAAAGCTTCAGCATAAAACTGTGCCTCTGATGCTCCTCTGAAGTCCTCTTTGGGTCTGTGGGGCCTGTGATTCCAGAGTGATACCCAGAGCATGTGGCGTGGGTGCCCTTAGGATTTTTGCAGTATAGGGAACAGCTGGAGCTGTGTCAGGGCAGGGTCAGGTTGGATCTCAGGAAAAGGTTCTTCCCCCAGAGGGTGGTTGGGCACTGACCAGGCTCCCCAGGGCAGTGGGCACAGCCCCAAGGCTGCCAGAGCTCCAGGAGTGTTTGGACAATGCTGTCAGGGACATGGTGGGATTGTTGGGGTGTCTGTGCAGGGCCAGGGATTGGATTTGATGATCTCTGTGGGTCCCTTCAAACTCAGGATATTTTATGTGTGACACTGCAGTCTGATTTTTGCCTCGTGTGTGTGCACCGTACACAGCACCTGAATGGACAGCAAGCCACAGCCTGGGTGCTGCTCCCAAGCCACTCCCAGGAGCAGCATCCCATAGGTACCTTTTTCTTCTTTGCATGGCAGAAGCCAGGAAGGGAACCAAAACTCCCAAGTCCCAGTGCTCCATCCGCCCGGATTCCTACCGGCACTTCACTCCTCGCTTCAAGGCATCAGTGCTGCCCCAGGTGAGAGCTGTGCCTGGGCTGGTTACCTGGTAAAGAACAGGCATTTGGGGCCTGAGGTTTTCCAGATTGTTTCTATTTTGTTCTCTGTTTGAAAGCACTTTGGAAAATATACCCCTGGGCTGATGTTCAGTGAGAAATCCTAACATTAATTCCCAGTTCTCCTCTACATGCAGCTCTTTCCAGACTAGTAAAAAGTGAGTTGTGCTCAACTCTTTTTCTGTTCCCTGAATCTGCATACATTTTTATTCAAAAGGAACGGGAATGGCATGTGCTATTGAGAGTGAAAGACGAGTGAGCAATGGAATGATTCATCATGTTTGTGAGCAGCTGCGTTGGCAGAGCAGGCTGGAGAAGGCAAATCCAGAGAGTGTAGTGAGGAGAGACAGCACAGCTCCTGCTCTGTTAACAAACACAGCAGGAATAAAACAGAAACTTAGCTCGGCCTTTCCCTAAGCTGTGCTGTTAAGTGCTGGGAGAAGAACTACATCCAGCTTGCCCCCTCAGTTGTCCTCCCACCTGGCAGCATTTTTTCCTCTGGTTCTCTTCCTATTGAAACATCTACACATCCAAGCCAGCAAAACCCATGGAACTCTTTCCCAGTGGGATTAGCAGCTGCTCCTTGGCTGGGCACTTGCTGCCAGCCTGTTCTGTGTCCCATCTGAAAGCATCTGTGCCTGGCTGTGCTGGGGCAGTATCTCTTTTGGACATAGAATTGTGCCCTTCAGGATTCATCAGTTATGGAATTGTGTGAGGATTGGTATGAATCTGTGTGGGATGTGTGTGTGAGGATGTGTGTATGTTTGCACACTCACTTTTTCCTACATGGGTGCTGATGCACCTGCCCAGGCCATACTTCTAGAGCTTATTTTAAGCCAGTGTCTGTTTTTCTTGCAGAGTTTCCTGTCTCCTCCAGCAGGCAGCGAGGTCTTGAAGCTGAAAGCAGTGATTGGCTACAATGGAAATGGCAGAGGGAACATGGTGTGGAACCCAGATACAGGTACACTGGGAATGCTCTGAGGGGGTTGGATGTGTTACCCAGAGTGATTGTGGGTATCCCATCCTGGGAAGTGTTCAAGGCCAGGTTGGATGGGGTTTGGAGCAATCTGGGCTAGTGGAAGGTGTCCCTGCCCATGGCATGAGATGAGCTTTAAGGTCCCTTCAACCCAAACCATTCTGGGATTCTGTTATCATTCTAGGAGTGTGTACTGAACAGAGTTATGATCTTCTGGCTGTTGGGATCTTTGCTTGAACACAGGGGTTCTTTGTGTTGATAAAATCCAATAACTCTTTGCTGTTGGTGAGCGTTAGTTAGTGGGGCAGACTTGGGCTGCAGCTGTTGAGTGGAGAGAGCAGGAGGAAAGCTCACAGAGCCCATTCTGCCTCCTTTCTGCAGCTGGAGCAATGCTTTGCTCAGGTTAGGGGAAGTGAGATCTTGTCCCACTCCCAACCTGACGCTGACAAGCCGTGTAGAAGAGTCAGCTTTTACGTATTAATGAATCATAGAATTTTCCATGTAGGCTGTGGTGGGGGCTGGATGTGCAGCCTTTCCATGAAAACATCCCCTCTCCTCCTCTGCTAGGCTTCTTCGCCTACTCCTGTGGCTGCGTCATCGTGGTTGAAGACCTGCACTCAGGGTCCCAGAACCACTGGCTGGGCCACGCTGAGGAGATCTCCACGCTCGCCCTCAGCCACGACGCCCAGGTATGAGGGCCTGCTGCTGCCCAGGGCCAGCGGTTATCCCTGTCACTGTGGGCCAAAGGGATGTCACAGACTACAATCCCATTTGTCAGTTCTTCTGCTGCCTGGAGGCTGTGGAAATCATTTTGGAGCGTAGTTATCTGTTGTGCTGGCTCAGCGTGGCAGTGCCTCACCTCAGGAAGGGGCTGGAGTGTGTCCAGAGAAGGGAACAGAGCTGTGGAGGGGGCTGGAGAGTCAGACACATGAGCTGGGGGAGCTGGGGGAGCTCAGCCTGGAGAAAAGGAGGCTCAGCAGGGACTTTCTCACTCTCCAGCTCCCTGGCAGGAGGGGGAAGCCAGGTGGGGATCAGGCTCTGCTCTCAGGGAACAAGGGACAGGACAAGAAGAAATGGCCTCAAGCTGTGCCAGGGGAGGGTCAGGAGGAATTTCTTCCTGGAAAGGTTGGTCAGGCATTGGAAGGAACCGCCCAGGGAGGTGGTGGATTCCCCACTCCTGGAGGTGTCCAAGGAATGGCTGGATGTGGCGCTCTGAGCTCTGGGCTGGGTGACAAGGTGGGGATCGGGCACAGGTTGGACTCGATGACCTTGTGATTCTGTAAAGGCTGCTCCCCTCCTCTGGGTGATGCTGCCATTCCCTCCTGCCACCAAACTGAATGGTTGTTCTCACAGAATTCTCCATCTGCCAACCATACCACTTTAATTTGGGACTAATATTGCTAAGACTCGTTAATGAGTATTCTCTAATTACTTACTGAGGTCTCAGTGACAGTACATTGTTCTGTTAGGTTCTTGCCTCTGCCTCAGGGAAGAAGGATGGAGACTCCCACTGTCAGATCTGCATCTGGAGCATCCCAGATGGGGCCTGCACAGCAGAGCTCTTCCACCATGAGACACAAGTACAAGCCATGGCATTCTCTCGGGATGACAAATTCCTTGTCACCATAGGTGAGCACACCTGTAACACCAGGTGTGGGTGCAGGGGTGCACCCTGGAGCAGACAGCTCATGGGAGAGAGGTGCTGGAAGCACTAAATACCTGCCAGATGGGTGTGAGGCTCGTGGGGATGAAGCTGTTTTGTGGTATCCTTGGGACAGCAGGTAAAGCTGCACTTTCCTCTCCTGACTCACTAGTGCTCCTTAAACCCTGTGTGAATGGTTTGTGGTTACTGTATTTACTGTTCAAAGGGAAGAGCCTTCTTCTGGACTTGTTATTGCTGCTTAGGTGGAATTGGATAGATGTAGCAAGGCTTCCAACTGTGAGCCTCCTGCCAGGCAGCCATGCCAGCACAGGATGGACACTCAAGCTGTCTGTTTTGTTTAGGCAGGGGACATTTAAAGAACAACATGCAACTAGTAAGCCCTTGTTTTGAATGAGAGGGGACCTGTGGAGCAGGCAATACACTTGCTCTGGGCTGGTGAGCCCACCCTTGGAAAAAAAAAGGAGGCTTTGCTGGAGAGAAAGAGAGCTGTGTGCTCTCCCATGGAGCATCAGGGCAGAGGAGCCCTCCTCTTCCAGCTCCAGACTGGGCTGCAGGGAGAGAAAAGCTGAAAGTCTCCACTGGGCTTGTGGAGCCTGGGAAAGGCAGCAGGAGAGTGCTGTCCTCCAGAGCTGTCTGAGAGCTGGGGAATTTGCCATCACTGAGGCCAGTGCCTTCTGCTCCCACCCAGCTACAGTGTCTTCCACTAAGGTCAGCTCCCGCCTCACCTGTGACCTTGGGAAAGGTGACATCCCTTTCCTATTCAATACCAGGTTAGCCCTGAGTGCCCAATGTCACTGGAGGGTTTGTTTGGGTGTGCAGTGACTCCCAAGGATGTAGAAGCAGCAGAAAGGTTGCTGTGCCTGCTGCAATCGCAGCCACCATCTGCACACCCCACTGCCAGGACAGGTCTGCTGCAACCTCCAGCATGGAGTGCTGGAGGTCCTTAACTCTGTCTGTCCTTAACTCAGTCAAGGATCTGTTGTGTCATGCAGCTTTTGCTGAGCACATGAGGAGTTGTGTCCATGCCTGGAGCAGCGTTTGGGGACAGTTGTGTGTGAACTGGGGAAGTGACACAGGCAATGTGTGTGTGCAGTGTGGATGCTTTTGAGCATCTCAAGGCTGCAGAATTCCTCCTGTTTTTCACATTCTCCTTAGGGGACTACAGTGACCAGAGCATTGCTTTGTGGAGCACCTACACTTACCAGCTCCTCCTGTCCACTTGTGTCTCGGAGCCAGTTCATGACGTGGCTTTCAGCCCTGTGTCTCACCAAGACCTAGCCTGTGTGGGGAGAGGAGCTGTGATGTTTTGGCTGCTGGAGCAGCAGGGAGCTGCTGTCAACCTCAAGGTAAACCTCCGTTTTACATTTCAGAATTTATTTTTAGCATCTCTGCCCCCACAGCTCTGTGAGAGCTGAGGATTTCTTGTGACTTCGGCTGTCCACAAGAGCCTTTTGGTTGTATTTGAGACATGAACTGCATGAATTGAGGGGAGGAAGAGGGTTTCTTTCCTGTTGTAGGTAAGAACCATATTTTCTTTGACATGCCTGTTTTTTGTGCTCTGGCAGGTTCATCAGGCCCCTGCCCCGGATGTGCTGGGGCTGGTGGAGCTCACATCTCTCTGTTATGGTGCTGACACTCTTCTGTACAGTGGGACCAACTCAGGCCAGATCTGTGTGTGGGACACTGAGACCAGTTGCTGCTTCATGACATGGGAGGCTGACGAGGGCGAGATCGGTGGGTGCTGAGTCAGGAGGGTCAGGGAATGTGTGGGGAACGAAGAGCTGTGAGCTTGCCCAGCTCTGCTTTCAGCTGTGCTCGGAAAACCAGTTTGCTGTGTCAGATGCAAGATGTGTGGGGTGGCAATGGATCTGTGATCTGGGTTTCCTTGTGGTCCTGGGTTCCCTGGGGAGTTCACCTTGTTACATCATAGAATCATTAAGGTTGGAAAAGGTCTCTAAGATCATCGAGTCCAACCATTAACCCAGCACTGCCAGCACTGACCCATGTCCCTAAACACCACATCCACATGCTTTTTGAACACTTCATGGGACCATGATTCCACCACTGCCCTGTTCTAAAGCTCCTACAGACCCCTAGTCTGTAAAACACTGGGTATTGGCTGTACAACCTCCCCCACTTTTCCTGCTGGAGTGCATCAGTGGCCTGGCTGTCAGGGGCACGGTTGGGGTGCTGGTTGAGAGCAGTGGATATTCACGGGTGCCCCATCCCCCTGTGCCCCCCAGGGGTGCTGCTGTGTCGGCACGACAGGCTGGTGAGCGGCAGCAACACGAAGCGCATCCGCCTGTGGGCAGTGGGCAGCGTGCAGGAGCTGAGGCTGAAAGGGCCTGATGCCAGGTAGGCAGTCGTGGCCCCTCACCTGGCAGCTCCCAGGACCTGTCTCAGAGGTGGCTCTTCACAGACAGACGTCGCCCTGCTCCTGAGCTCTTCATCCTTAGCTTTTCCTCTCCACCCCGCGGCTGCTGATTCTTTCTCTCTGGATCTTTTGACTGAATTTTTGCCACAGGTAGCTGAACCCTCTTAATACTGGAAGTGGGTGGAGATTATCATGTCTGAAATTTGTGTCAGTGGTTTGTAGGAATTCCTTTAGGAGAATTAGGGAAAATACACTGCCTTTGTTTCTTCTCTCACACTATTGCACCCTTCATTTTCTTTCTTCCCTATAAAAGATGGTTGCAGTGCAAATCACAGAATCATGGAATGATTTGGGTTGGAAGGAACCTTCAAGACCATCCCATTCCAACCCCCTGCCGTGGGCAGGGACACCTTCCACTAGCCCAGGTTGCTCCAAGCCCTGTCCAGCCTGGCCTTGGACACTCGCAGGGATGGGGCAGCCACAGCTTCTCTGGGCAACCTGTGCCAGGGCCTCCCCACCCTCACAGGGAAGAATTCCTTCCCAATATCCCATCTAACCCTGCCCTCTGCCAGTGGGAAGCCATTCCCCCTTGTCCTGTCACTCCACGCCCTTGTCCAAAGTCCCTCTCCAGCTCTCTTGAAGCCCTTTATGCCCCAGAAGGTTTCCCCAGAGCCTTCTCTTCTCCAGGCTGAACTCCCCCAGCTCTCCCAGTGCAATGAGAGTCACTGATCCATAGACAGGGGTCCTTCATTGAACTGGGCTCACTAAGAAATTGCATTTAAAGGAGGCAGAATGGCTGTTCCAACACCTGAGCCAGTCCTTCTCCCATCCTCCTTTCCTCCAGGTCCAGCTCAGTCCTGCTGGAGCATGAGATCACCCTGGATGGGACGATCGTCAGCGCAGCCTTCGACGACTCCCTGGAAATGGGCATTGTGGGCACCACAGCAGGAACCCTGTGGTACATCAACTGGCTGGAGAGCACGAGCATCCGGCTCATCAGCGGCCACAAGAGCAAGGTCAGAGGGGCTGGGCCAGCTTTGAATTTTGCTGTTGCTTTGAGGTGTCTTCATGCTACAGGAAAAAGTGTTCAAATGGTAGAAGAGAAGGAATTTTACGTTGACCTGTGGTGCACAGTGCCTGGTCCCACCTCTGGGGTTAGGTTTGTTAACCCCTTTGGGGTTAGGTTTATTAGCTGTTTGGGGCAAGGTTTCCTGTTTTCCATGACAAGCCCAGCTGTCATAGAATCATAGAATTTTAAAGGTTGGAAAAGACCTCTAAGATCATCAAGTCCAGCTGTCAATCCAGCACCACCACCATGTTCACCATTAAACCAGGTCTTCAGGTGTCACATCCACACATCTTTTGAACACCTCCAGGGATGGTGACTCCACCACTGCCCTGGGCAGCCTATTCCAGTGCTTTGCAACCCTGTCAATGAAGAAATACTTCCTAATATCCAATCTAAACCTTCCCTGGTGCAACTTGAAGCCGTTTCCTCTCGTCCTGTCAGCCCACAATTTAAACCCAAACCCAAAGCACCCACCTTCCTTTATGTTCCATCTTGTCTGATGTCTCCTAAGAGTGGATAGAGGGGCAGAGGAGCTGATGTGCTCTGGGCTGTGGCACCTGTAGAGCCCCTGTTGCCCACCTTGTTCCTGGTGCAGGTGACCGAGGTGTGCTTCAGTCCTGACGAGACTCACTGTGCCACGTGTGGGGAGGATGGCAGCGTGAGGGTCTGGGCTCTGAGCAGCACAGAGCTGGTGGTCCAGTTCCAGGTGCTCAACCAGGTAAGTGTTTGTGGTACATCAATCCCTTCCTCTTGGCACAGGGAGGTATCCACTGTATCATCTCTGGTTCCTTCGCAGAGCTGCCAGTGCCTGGCCTGGAAGCCTCGTCCCGTCGGGCTGTGGGGAGCTGAGAGCCAGCACGTGGTGGCAGGATACAGTGATGGCACCATCCGTGTGTTCAGTGTTTCCAGGACAGAGATGGAGCTGAAACTGCACCCCCACAGCGCTGCACTGACAGCAATCACCTACTCCACAGATGGTGAGACTGCCCAAGGTCACAGCAGGGACATGTGGCCTCGGGAAATGTGGCTTGGTGCTGCCTGGGTTACCCCGACCTCCAGCTGCTCTGTGTCCTGGCCACCTGCCCAAAACCCTGGGGCCAGGGAGAGCCACAGAACTTGTCTCAGTGAGCTTTGATGGCTCTGCCAGCTGAGCATGTGGTAAATAGGAGATGGGAGGTGTATTGGCAATGGGATAACAAAGGGGTTTGGGTACCACAAACCCTTTTGTGCCCTTGTGCTTATGATCTACCATGGCTCTTCTTCTGTGTGGAGGTTTAATGGGTGTCTGAGACATCTCATCTTACCCAGCCCTTGACTGGGATGTTCTCAGCCTTTCACAGTGTTTTGGGACACCAATATCCCATGATCTTGGACCTTTCTCCTCTTGGCTATTCTTCTCAAGGGTCCCATTGTTTTGTCTCCTTTCAGGAGAAATGATCTTATCAGGGGGCAAGGATGGGCTGGTGGCTGTGAGCAGCCCTCGCACTGGAATGACCATCCATGTCGTGGCTGACCACAAAGGCTCCCCCATCACTGTTCTCCAGTGCACCAGGAAGCAGGTGAGACCCCAGGAGCAAGTCCTCCTGTGTCACTGCACAGCTGTGGGAAGCAGCATGGTCAGTGTTTGCTTCCTTGTCCCTTGCTTTTCCTCTTCAGGCCCCCATCCCCTCCAGTAACTTCTGGTCAGTTTTTCCAGGGATGTATCCAGTGGAGCAAAGCTGCAGGCATTGCAGGTGCAGCCTGTGCCTGTGGGTGGGGGGACCTTTGGTGGCAGCAGTTGACACACAGGTGTGACGTGGGCCTGTGCCACAGGCTCTCAGAGAGCAGCACCCCTGAGAGCAGCCCAGGCTGGGAGCTTGCAGCCCCTGTGCCCCCCAAAAAAGGCTCCTGGGCAGCCTGGCCTCCTGTACTATTCCTCTGAGGAGCTGAGAAGACTTGTTTGTGCACCAGTGGTGGGATGGTTTTAGCACCTCCTTTGTCTTCTTCTTAATGAAGCAGAAATGGGAATAATTTTCCCTGAGTTCTCAGGCTTTCCAGTCATCCACACTGTAAGGCTGCATTCCCTGGTAATTTAGACCGAGGAGATCCTCCGTGGTTCTAGGTGAAGGATGTTGTTAGGGGACACATGGTATTGAAAAGGACTTCCCTGGGAGATGTGCAGATCCAGACATTGTCCCAGGGAAGAGAACTGTGTTGTTCAGGCCAGGGTTTGGGTTAGAAGGGACCTGAAAGATCATCCAGTTCCAGCCCCCCACTATGGGCAGGGACACCTTCTGCTGTCCCAGGTTGCTCCAAGCCCCATCCAACCTGGCCTTGGACACTTCCAGGGAGCAGGCAGCCACAAACAGGTTAATCCTGGCCTTGATCCCCTAAACACAAGACCTTTGTTCCCACAAGCTCCTGCCCCACTCTCTGGTGTCACCTTCCTTTGCAGCCTCTGTGCCTCCAGAGTCCCAGTGTTGTGTTTGTGTTCCCTAGTACCACGACTTCGGGGTGGAAGGGGGTGAGCTCTGGCTGGCCACGAGCTCGGACCGCCGGGTCAGCGTCTGGGCCTCCGACTGGCTCCAGGACAAGTGTGAGCTCCTCGACTGGCTCAGCTTCCCAGCTCCTGCCGACCCCGAGGTGAGCCTGGCTCCTGCCAGCCCCTGCCTGCTCCTGGCGTGGGGCTTGGCACCAGCAGAGATAGAGGAGGGATGCACAGGGCTCTGACAGAGAGAGTGTGCTTAGGAATGTCATCTCTGTTATTTCTGCTCACAGAGTTATCTTGTTAACAAACCTTCTTGTGTGTGGAAAGCAATTGCAGCAGTACCAAACTGCCCCAAGCACTGACTTTTAAGCATGAGGAGCCCAAAATGGCACCTGCAAAGAGCTGACGCCCCTGTGCCAGCAAACCAGAGCACAGGCAGCCGTGAGCACAGTGTGCAGGAGAGAGCTAATTAGGAACGTGCTGCTAACTCTGACATTCTTGAGGAGCATGAATATTCCAAGCCAGGAGCACCATGACGGGTTCACAGAGCCAAGTACTCAGCCCTGTGTGTCTGTGCTGCTTGGCAGAAGCCTCTGGCTCCAACCCAGGGTGAGGTTTGGGCAGCAGGACACCTGCTAGAAAGGGAGGAAGGATCTGTGTTGGAGAGGATATGGAGATGGCCCCTGGTCCAGGTGAGACTGGCAGGCAGAAGGGAGCTTCCATACAGCAGCTGGGTTCTGTCAACGTTTCTTCTGTTTCTTTCCAAAACATTGGATTTCCTCTGGAAGGAAACTCACTACAGCTCTCCCCAGAGTGAGAAGGATTAATCTTGCGTCTTCTACTCAAGATCTGTCTTCTGGGCCCTATTTTCTTGTGTTAAACCAATCCAAAACCCAATCCCACCTTCAAGCCCCTGCAGCAACATCTCAGTAGAAATTCAGCCTGCTGGACCCTCATGTCTCCTGCTCCTCTGACACTAAACAGTTTGCTTCAGGTTTTCATGGCAGTGTGTGGGTGCTCCTTGCTTTCCATGAGATGGGAATGCAAGAGGGAGGAAACAGCCTCCATCATATTAACTTCCCACTGCTCAGATACTCAGAGCCCTGAAGTTCCTCCGTGCTCTGCTTTTGTCCCCATTGTATTGGGTCAAGATGGAGAATCCAGACTTTTCTTGCCGTTGGTTTCCCTCACCAGGGTCTCGAGCTCCCTCCCAGCCTGGCTGCGTTCTGCCCTTGGGAACAAGATGTCCTGGTCTACGTGGGGTTTGGGGTGCAGGAGGAAGCCTTGTTCTACAATCTGCGCAAGAAGCAGGTACCTGTGCCCTGCCCCGGGGCCCGGGGGGAGGCAGTGCTGCCCTGTGTTAACCCCTGTCACAGCGGTGGGCTGGGCTCAGGGAACAGCTTGTCATCTTGGAAACTCCCGGGGGAGCAGCAGAGCCCTGCCCCTGCCTCGGGCTGTGTCCGGGCAGGCAGCCAGTCCCTGATCCCACTGCAGGGGAAGGCAGCTGCTTCCAGAAGCACTGGTGCTCTCCACATTGCTGAGCCATCTCCTGGATGCCTGGGGCAGGTTTCCAAGCTTGAGAGATGCTGTGCACCTTCAGCCTCCCGTTACCCTCCTAATGACTCGCTGCACAGCTCTGGGCTGTCCCTTCCCCCTTGTGAGGAGTTGGTGTTTCTCTTGCTGGATGCAGGTGGTCAGGAGAGTCTCCTTGCCAGCCTTTGCCACCTCGCTCAGCCTGTCCCCGGCCGCGCCCTTCATGGCCCTCGGCTTCCACGGTGAGTGCTGGGGCTGCCTGGGCCCCTCCACGGGGAGGAGTCTCCCCTTCTACTGTGAGGGGGGGAACAAGGGTCCTTGTTCCATAAAATGAGACACATGCACACACACCATATCTTCAAACCCTGGGAGCTACGGTCCAGGGCAAGGAGAAACCTCTGGGAGACTTCTAGGTCAGAAATGAGATGCATGAGCTCAGTCCTGCTTGTCCAGGGGCAGGATTTGTCACTGGAATGACTTCCCGGGGTTATGGGCTGCAGCCCAGGAGGCAGCAGGGACCTTCCCATGGCAGAGGACAGTCACGACCCTGCTCCTGACAAGGGCACCTCGCGCCTGGAGTGGTTTGGATCTGCCTGTCCCGTGTCACTCAGCTCAGCAACTCCCAGCTCAGCAGCAGGGAGGGAGCCTGGGGGGTGAGCAGGAACGGTGCTCCTGGCAGGGACAAGTCTGGAGAGGGTCCAGGTGTGACAGGGAAGGGTGGTCTTGGCAGGGAAAAGCCCCAGGGAGCGGGTTTGGGAGTGGCCGGGAGCAGTCCGAGCCCCCAGCCCGGCCCTGACCCTCCTCTCGCAGCTCGGCTGCTGCGGCTGCAGCCGTGCCCGGCCGGGGACCCGCAGGACTACGCCGGCCATGACGACACCGTCCACCTCTGCCGCTTCGCGCCCTCCGGCCGCCGCCTCCTCACGGCCTCGCACAGCGCCGTGCTCGTGTGGGAACTGACGGGCAGCTGAGCCGGGCGGGCCTTGGACTGGCGGCGCTTCTCCAGCGGGGACAGAGCCCGGGGGGGCCCGGCCCCGGCTCCCGGGACAGGCCCCGGCTCCGGCCCCAACCAGGCCTCAACTACCGTCCCCACAGCTCCAGGGCCCGGCGGTGGCGGCGGGCCGGCACCGCCTGGCCCCAGGATGTGTCTCACGACCCCGTTCGCCGTTTGTTATCGTTAAATGTTTTGTTTTCGTTAATAAACCATCGACAGACAAACCCTGGAGGTCTCAGCGTGTTGCCCTCGCCAGGGGGCGCTGTGGTGCCCCGCGCCGCTCTGCGCCGCCGCTCGGTGGTGCGGCCGGAAGTGGGGGGGGGGAGACAGGGAGGCGGCGGTGCCGCCATGAAACGGGACGTGCGGATCCTCCTGCTCGGGGAGGGTGAGGGGGGTTCTGAGGGGCCGGGCGGGGGTCGGACCCTCCTGTGAAGGGAGAGTGAGGGGGGTCCTGAGGGGCCGGGGAGGGATCAGATCCTCCTCTGAAGGGAGGGTGAGGGGCGTCCCGAGGGGTCCCGGGGCTCCGGTGGGGCGGGTCCTCCTGCTCGGGGTGGCCGAGGGGGCACGGGGGTCCCGGGCAGGCCGAAGGTACAGGGGATCCCCCCAGTACCGGCAGGGCCGGAGGCGCGGCCGGGCTCGCCGGTGATCCCGGGCCCTGCGGGTGTCACGGTTACCAACCCCGGCCCCGATCGTGGCTTCACTGCCGCTGTCCCCCCCAGGCTGTGCCGTGCCGGTGCCAATGTCAACGTCCTCCCTTTATTTCCTAGCCCAGGTGGGGAAGACGTCCCTGATCATGGCCCTGGTGGGCGAGGAGTTTCCTGAAGAGGTGAGCGGGGAGGGGACGCACAGACACACACCCCCCCGGGTGGGCCAGCTCTGTCCCCAGTACCACCGGCCTGGGGTGTCTGGGGGTGCTCACAGCTCTGGGCTGTGACAGCCGTGGGAATCACCAGCAATCGCCACTAAAGCTCAGGTGAGGTCGGTGAGGACCACACAGAGCTCCAGCTGAGGTGCTGTTTTCCTGTTTGTGCTCTGATGTGGAGCGCTCTCTGCCCTCGGGAGGGTGTTGGTACCTCCCAGGCTCCCGCTCGCTGCTGCTGGGGGTCTCCGTGTTGTGGCCACCAGCACAGCAGGGCCCAGCCTTCCTCCCAAATCCAGCCTGGCACTGGCACAGAGCCCTCGGAAGGGGCCAAGCCACATTCCCCGCCCCTCTGTACCCGTCTGGAGCTGGATTTGGTGCTCTGAGCCAGGCCAGCTGCCAGCAGCAGATCTGTCCATCCCCTCAGAGCCTCCAGGAGGGCAGCTCGCTGTCCCAGCACAGCTGGAATGGGAAAATGGGATCAGTCTGTCTGGGCACATTCTCCCTGAGTCATCAGCTGACTTCTTCCACTGCCTACAAGCAGCTGGTGCCCTGCATGGTCTTGTGCTGGGAAGCATCAGCTCAGGGGTTTGGGGGGACCAGCTCTGTGGCCCGTCCCCTGCTGCCAGCCCAGCCCAGCCCAGTCAGCTCAGCACTGAGCCCAGACAGCTGGGGAGTGCCCAGGGAGTGCCATGGGCTTATCTCTGGCTGGCCAGGGCTTATCTCTGGAGCCCGAGTCCATGGCTGAGGGAGGCCAGGCCAGGCAGGGGTGGCTGTGGCTGAGGGAGGCTGGGCCTGGTGGGCACATGGAGATTCCACCTCAGGGACACGGGCTGTGTGAGGGATGGGGTGCAGGGAGCTGCTGCAGCCCAGTGGGCCAAAAGCCATCCATGATCCGTAGCTCATCCCACCATGGCAGAGCAGGTGCTGGGCAGTGCCCACATTAGGGGGTAATGTCCCTTGTCACCCATGCTCCCAGCTGGCTGTCACCTGGCATGGCTGGCTGGACAGCTGTGCTGGCTTTGCAGGTGCCCCCCCGGGCAGAGGAGATCACGATCCCGGCCGATGTCACCCCTGAGAAGGTCCCCACACACATAGTGGACTACTCAGGTAGGGCCCCATCCCACCTGGCTTTTCCCCTTCCCTGCCTGTCTGAGGGGACTGGGAAGGGGTCCTGCTGTCAGGACAGATGGTGACAGCTCTGTTCCCCTTTCAGAGGCAGAGCAGACAGAGGAGGAGCTGCAGGAGGAGATCTCCAAGGTGAGTGGGGCTGGCTGGGACAGGAGCCTGTGGTTCTGCAGCTCCCAAGGGGAATGTGACTGCTCCCCTCCCTGTTAACCACCCAGGGGGGCCAGGCAGTTGGTTATCCGTGGATTAATGCTCTGGTTTGTTTAAAGGCTTGTTTAATCCTGCTCTGTCTTGTAAGCTGTTGTACGTGGCTTGTCCTGGCCCTCGGGGGAGCCTCCAGAAGGAGAGCAGTGGGGGGCAGGAGGAGGCTGCGGAGCAGATGATGTGCTCTGAGCCTGGGGATGTTCCTGATGGGCTTGGAAGAGGGGAGAAGCAGTTGCTGAGCTTGGGCAAGACCCTCTGCTCCTGCATTAGATCCCTGTGGCTGCCTGATGAAGCAGTGGCACAGAGAAGTTAATTTGGGAACTGGAGCCCCTGGGGAGCACTGGGCAGGGAGGGATGAGGAAGCGCTTGAAGCAGCCGTGGAGGAATAATTGAGTCGTCTGGCTGGGATGCACCCAGCTGCTCTTTGCCCTGGGATTAGCCTGGGCTCTGCAGAGACAAGGACCTTTTAATTGTGGATAATAAAACTGTCTCTCTCACGTGAACAAAGCTATTTAACCTCCCTATCCCGGTGGTTAAGCGCTGAGGAGGTGGGCATGGGGGTCCTGCCCCCTTCACCCAGACAGCAGGAGTACACAGAGGCTTTAAACAGCTCCAGGAAATCCTGCCTAAACCCTCATGTGTCCTCAGGATTAGCGCTAAACTCTCTCCTGAAAGGACCAGTGATCCCTCCTGTCTGCTTCCGACAAAGCCGGGGCACCGTCTGCGCGGGGTCGGGAGGGGAGGAGGGCACGGCCGCGGCTGTGGGAGGGGATCCGGGCGGGCCTGGGGGCGGCAGCTCCCGGGGCAGAGGAGCTGGCCTGTGCTCCTGGCAGCTGTGGGCTCATGTCGGGGGCTGTGTGAGGAGGGCTGTGTGTGAGGAGGGCTGTGTGTGAGGAGGGCTGTGTGTGAGGAGGGCTGTGTGTGTGAGGAGGGCTGTGTGTGTGAGGAGGGCTGTGTGTGTGAGGAGGGCTGTGTGTGTGAGGAGGGCTGTGTGTGTGGAGGGCTGTGTGTGTGGAGG